AGACATTTAGAATGCTGTGCACACAAATAAATAAAAATCAATTGTGTTTGGTAGATTGTTAAAATACTTCAGGATTGTATCGTGTAAACCGTGGTCGTGATTGTATGGTGTAAAACTCGGTCGTAATTGCTTATGGAAAGTATTGAACTCAATGTTGTACCATTGATTTGTGTGTGTGTGACATGTCAGTTGTAATCCATTAGCTGCCGTATGTCACTAGATATGTCAGTTGTCATTCATATGCTATCGAATGTCACTGAATATGTCAGTTGTGATACATTAGCTGCCGTGGTTATCTCACTAGCCTTCCAGTAAACAACCACCAAATGTGTACCAAACCCAGCAATACTCTACTCTACCTGTTACCACATCCCACAACAATGACGTAGGGTTTGTGTTTTGGATTTGTGTATTGGCTCTCGTATTTATGTCATTGGCATCATTCTGTTATGGGTCATCCATAAATAACGTCACTCGTTTTTTTTGACGATTTTTACCTCTCCCCTCCGTCAGACTTAGTCACAAAAAGCCAGACCCCCGTCCTAAAATGACGTCACACCACAGACTACAAACCCCTCCCCCCCCCCCCCGAAATTGCAGTTGAATCACACACCGTCACAAAATTACGCACCTCCTTCCTTATACGAGTGTGACGTCATTTATGGACGACCCCCTTATTGATATGACTTAACTTAATCCCGTGAAGCCACCTGGGAATTTATTTTGGGCAGCTATCTTTAATTAATTCCCTTTGTGTCCGATAGCTGTAATTGATTTCTTGAACCCGGTATATAAAAGGAAGTATGGTCATTACTATGCCTAGGGAGGTGTGGTCAGTACTATGCCTAGGGAGGTGTGGTCAGTACTATGCCTAGGGTGGTGTGGTCAGTACTATGCCTAGGGTGGTGTGGTCAGTACTATGTCTAGGGTGGTGTGGCCAGTACTATGTCTAGGGTGGTGTGGCCAGTACTATGCCTAGGGTGGTGTGGTCAGTACTATGCCTATAGGTGGTGTGGTCAGTATTATGCCTTGGTGGTGTGGCCAGTACTATGCCTAGGGTGGTGTGGTCAGTACTATGCCTATAGGTGGTGTGGTCAGTATTATGCCTTGGTGGTAGTGTCAGTCCTATAGACAAGGGTGGTGTGGTCAGTACTATGCCTTGGTGGTGTGGTCAGTACTATGTCTAGGGTGGTGTGGACAGTGCTATGCCTAGGGTGGTGTGGTCAGCACTAAATTCAAGTGTGGTGTGGTCAGTACTATGCCTTGGTGGTGTGGTCAGTACTATGCCTAAGAAGGAGTGGTCAGTACTATGCCTTGGTGGTGTGGTCAGTACTATACACAAGGGTGGTGTGGTCAGTACTATGCCTAGGGTGGTGTGGTCAGTACTATGCCTTGGGTGGTGTGGTCAGTACCATGCCTAGGGTGATATGGCCAGTACTATGTCTAGGGTGGTGTTGTCAGTACTATGCGCGTAGGTGGTGTGGTCAGCACTATGCCTAGGGTAGTGTGGTCAGCACCATGCCTAGGGTGGTGTGGTCAGAACTATATCCAAGGTGGTGTGGTCAGTACTATGCCTAGGGTGGTGTGGTCAGTACTATGCCTAGGGAGGTGTGGTCAGTACTATGCCTTAGGTGGTGTGGTCAGTACTATGCCTAGTGTGGTGTGGTCAGTACTATGCCTTGGTAGTGTGGTCAGTACTATACACAAGGGTGGTGTGGTCAGTACTATGCCTAGGGTGGTGTGGTCAGTGCTATGCCTAGGGTGGTGTGGTCAGTACTATGCCTATGTGGTGTGGTCAGTACTATGCTTAGGGTGGTGTGGTCAGTACTATGCCTAGGTTGGTGTGGTCAGTACCATGCCTAGGGTGGTGTGGTCAGTACTATGCCTAGGGTGGTGTGGTCAGAAATTTGCCTATGGTGATATGGCCAGTACTATGCCTATGTGGTGTGGCCAGTACTATGCCTAGTGTGGTATGGTCAGTACTATGCCTTGGTGGTGTGGTCAGTACTATGCCTTGGTGGTGTGGTCAGTACTATGCCTAGGGTGGTGTGGTCAGTGCTATGCCTAGGGTGGTGTGGTCAGTACCATTTCTAGGGTGGTGTGGTCAGTCATATGTCTAGGGTGGTGTGGACAGTACTATGCCTAGGGTGGTGTGGTCAGTACTATGCCTAGGGTGGTGTGGTCAGTACTATGCCTAGGGTGGTGTGGTCAGTACTATGCCTAGGGTGGTGTGGACAGTACTATGCCTAGTGTGGTGTGGTCAGTACTATGCCTAGTGTGGTGTGGTCAGTACTATGCCTAGGGTGGTGTGGTCAGTACTATGCCTAGGGTGGTGTGGACATTACTATGCCTAGGGTGGTGTGGTCAGTTTTATGCCTAGTGTGGTGTGGTCAATACAATGCCTAGGATTGTGTGGTCAGTACTATGCCTAGGATGGTGTGGTCAGTACTATGCCTAGGGTGGTGTGGTCAGTACTATGTCCTATGGTATTTACGTTGTTCATTAACAGCTGTTTACAATTAGATAGGATCAGCTGTGTAACGTAACAAGCATAGTAATCATTTTTTTTTTAATAAATGTTACATTTAGATAACGTTTGATATAGATAATGAAGGGAATTAGATTAAGATGAGGGTTAAAATGAGAAAGTAAAAAATTAATGCATATTTTACCAAAATCACTCAACCCTAGGCCCTAGACCCTAGGCTCATTTCTAGATTTAACACTAACTCTGTTGTTTTTTTCAGCGTTCTTGGTTTATCCTTAAAGAGTAAGCAAGACAGACGGTTCAAACATTTTTTTCTTACTTTAATTATAGTTTCTTTCTACAAATTAGGGTAAATATTTCTAAAAAGAGGTTATATGTGTGCAGCGCTTTTCATGTGGCCAATGAACATTAGATTACTAGATCTAGACTAGATCTAGTACAAAACACTTCCATCCTCTAGAATCTACACCTTAAAAAAAACGTATAATTTATAATTTATTCAATGTTTATGTTACACTTTATTTTCGTATTTAATGTGACTTACAGCTGTCAGGCATACAATTAGTAAGGTAATTACAACTGATTTCTTTGCAAGAAAATTCGTTACGCCTATCAACGTTCTAGATCTAGATGTACTTGCAATGCGGGGTTGTGTAAGAAATGTGCAAAATAGCTATGACGTGAGCGGAAACAAATACTCAACATCAAGGTTTCATTTTGTTATGAATTTCCGATGTGACTTTGGTGGTGTGCAAATACCGCGTAACACGAAGAAATAAATCCTAGCAATGTATCAGTTTAAACTTGTTTTTTTTCCAGATTAATTGATAATTGAAAGTGGCAAAGCATTAAGAATGGTAGATAGGTAGATTTATTAGATGTAATTTTATAATGTGACTAACTTATTATAACCGACGCTTTTTAAAGTAAGCTCATTTCCAAAAAATTTTAAATAAATAAATGCCGTTTCTTCAGGCTCGGGAAGGGATAGGGGGAGGGCGTAATCTTTTGGTCAGTCCTCGGTCGGTTGATCGATCGGTTGCTTGGTTGTTCGGTCTTTCGGTCGGTCGTTCGGTCGGTCGCTTGGTCGTTTGATCCTTCGGTCGGTCGATAGGTCGGTTCGAAGCTCGGTATTTATTTAGTCGCTCGAGCGCTTGGTCATTCATATTGATAAGTATTGATTCATATTGATAAGTATCCTAATATATAAAAGCCCATGTGCGTAATTCTGTCTCTCTCTCTCTCTCTCTCTCTCTCTCTCTGTCCGCAACATTTACCGTCCAACCTCCATTCACGCGTTTTTGAATATCTGTTGTGTCTCTCTCTTTCCTTTGTGGCCCCTGGGAAGCAAAGGGTTGCAACTACACATATCCAGCGGATTTGGTTTTGCTCCCTTAATCTGTGCCCATGTGAGCCCATCTGTTTTCGCCTCTTCCTCAACCGTTCTTTTCCATTTTTCTTTGCCCGGCCCACTTTCCTTTTTCCCTGAGGATTCCAGTCCATAGCAATGTTATCTTTTTTCTTTTCTTAACGTGTGTCCAACCCATTCCCATTTACGGGCCTTAATATTCTTATCTATTGGCTGTTGTTTTGAGATTTGCCACAGGTCTTTGTTTGATATTTTGTCTGGCCATCTTATTTTTAAGTATAACTCGTAAGCATTTATTTGTGAACGACTGTTGTGAACCTGTTGAGTACTTGCCTAAAATCGTGGAAACTTTACAGCGATGTTATGAACTCTACTTCATTAGCCCCGTTAATTGTTGAGTGTCCGGTGCGTTGGGAGCCCACAAACGCCCGTTTTATTACATAAACTTGCGTTAAAATATTTGTTAAAGATAATTCGGAAAATTAGTAATCTCTCTACTATTAAAAGGTTGCAAGGAACAGTTTTAATCGCGAAGAACTTCTCATGGTTATATCCTGATCAGCGACTCGAGATTATGAGACTGACACATAAACAATTTTTAACAGGCGGACAACGCTTATGGAGTGACCTTGACCCCTCCAGTCATATGGCTGTTAGCACGGGTCAGACACACATAAACAAACTGAAATAAAGCTAAACAAAAAATCGCTAGCTATTACTTAACGTGAACAAACAGTAAATTGTTTGAACATGAAAATGTTTGTGTTATGACAAATTATAACTTAAGTCAGCATGCCAATTTTGAGCATTTCGTGTTTTTAACAAAGAAACAAAAAAGAGTTTAAGTACACCTCTAAACAGGTATGTGGTGGATTGAGGAAAATTCAGATTCCGGGGAAGCTATATATATATATATATATATATATATATATATATATATATATATATATATATATATATATATATAGATATAGATATATATAGATATATATATATAGATATATATTTATATATATAAATTGAGTTATGGTAGATCGCATATTGTTTAGAAAATAAAACAATGTTAGCAATTAAACAAACAACAATAGCTACAGTTGGTCAATACAAGTTTCTTTTGTATTTTTTAATGAAAGAAAAGTCATTTTTCAAGCGGCTGTTTTAAAATTTCAGTTTATTTAATTTCATTTAACTTAACAAAGGAGAAAACATAAGATTTTTGGAAGTTTTAAGTAAAAAACAAATACGAAGAACATCAGCTCAGGACTCCACATTTTAATAGCGATGAACTCTTTTGCCTTCAATGATTCCTTTTGGAAACACATGTTAAACATGATTAAATATAATTTTAAAAATTGTCTTAGTCTAATAAAAATCTTATTGTAAACTTATATTAAGATCTTATATTAATATTGTTTTTCAAAGTATCACGGCTATATTTAGCAGCGAGTTAATATTAGAGTAATTTTAATGTACATCTTTCGAGGCTTACAGCTATCTTCAATAGGATATAGAGCTTTAGTAATTATAATATTTGACGTGAATGGCCAAATATTTCCCACATTTGTGATTTTAAATAATTGTACACTTTTTTTTTAAATGCCAGAAACGAATTTTGTAAAATTTATTTTTTTAAACTTTTGACTGAATTGTTTAAGAAGATCTAAAAAAATTACACTAAGATATTAGTTACTTTAGAACAAATACAATAATATTCTAGAAACTGTTTTCAATAAGAGTTTGTGAAAAAGAAAATATTAATTTGTGTTGTATTCTATAAATCTCGAAAAAATGTGTTTTGATTTGTTTTCTAAGCTGTTCTTGAAAATAAATTAGATGTTATAAACTAGAATAAAACTCTCTAGCAGAGGCACAGGCACCTTACTACAAAATTCTTTATAAAAAGCCCGTGTTATCACACCTACTAGTTTTGGTAATAAATAGATTATTTTGATAACAAGCTCAAAATAACATTGCTTTTATTGTAATAACTGAAGAAGATATAAGTTTATTTTATCGATGTGTATTTACATTTTTATTTTTATAACGGTTTAGCTACTTCATATAATAACTAAGTCTGTGTATGTGGGAAGTGTAAATATATTCTAGTAAATTCAATGTTTGCATATTTTTAAAGCGGCATGTGTCAAATTATTTAAAAACAATTTGATGTCATATATAAAGACGCTGTATATGTTAAGACACAAGTTAGAGAATATTTAAAAAATAGACCAAAGACAGGAGAGAGGTAGAATAGTTCAGGTAAAATAGACATTGATCAATATGGAAGCAAGAACCAATAGAAGTAATACTTGAAGTAAACCTACCTCTAAGAAAATTTGTCCCAAAGCCTTTCCTGCAATTTTTCCCTACAATTAAACGCAAATTATTGTAAATTAAATTCTTAAAACCAAAAATTATATATAAATAGTATATGTTTTTGAGTAAATGAGTAAGAAACAAAATTTAGCTATATAAAGTAATTAAATAAAAAGTGTAACGGTTATTCCAGTAATGTCAAAATATTTTGATACATATGTATCTGTATTTAAAACTTAATGAAATAAAAATGTGTTAAAAAATTGTACAGAAAATTTATCCCTATTCATCACTGTTTAACGAGGTTTGATAAAGAAAAATACATTACTTGGTTTTTTGGTCGTAGTAGGTTTTGGCGTATTTTTCGCCGTAGTAGTTGGTGCGGCGGTTGTTACCGTAGTAGTTGGTGCGGTAGTTGTTACCGTAGTAGGCGCTGTTGTAGTTGTTACCGTTGTAGGCGATGCTGTAGTTGTCGCATCAGAAACTATGGTTTGAAAGATATTTTTGAAAATTATTTTATATTTCAATGGCAGTTAGCAACAACGAAGAATATAAGTTAATTAATATGATCTTCTACATTAATTTCATTGCTTTCGAAATTCAAACATCGTTTTTAATCGTGTATTTCTGTGTGCTTTTGCAAGGTAACAATATTTAGAAGAGTCTTTAGCGACAACAATATCCAGAATATACGACAAGCTAACTTTTAGATACACAAGGTTTTTATTCTTAAAAGCTATATTTTTATTGTATTCGTTTATTTGGTACAAAAGGTAATTTTTTTGTTTACTTGTCTTCTGGACTTAATTTAAAGGCGAAATCATCCAATGGTCTATCAGAAAATGGAGCCGCGTATTTAATTTATAATAGCTCACTAATGACTTTTTTTATGAAATAGTGTTTAAGTTAAAGACGTTACTTTTTATGAGACCAGATATTTGTCTATATTTAAATTAGAATTCATTAATAATTTTTAAAAAATCATATCTAGTTATCATTATATGCAACTAGCAAGTTAATTCAACTATTTACCACATATATATGGGTGATAGAACATACGCACTTGATTTTAGAGATCAGATACTTACGCTTATCGCAAAGAACTGCAGCAAAAATTGGCGCATTGTTACTCGTGTCCAGTTTCACTCCATCGACAAACTGTAGTACACAAGACCCATTGTTATAGATGTATCCAAAACAACCAGGCAGTGTTAGAGATTTCTGGGAACACTCCTGTCGTTTAAAAAAGTAATAAAATGTAATAAGTACAATTTTTGACACAATACAAGAAAATGTAAATAAACCGGGAGTGATCTCCACTAAACATTCTCGAGTATTCTTATACAACACTACTGGAGAAGGCACATCAAAAAATATGGACATGATTTTTAATCCATTTTTACTTTCTCGTATATATGAAGTATAGAGAAAGTCTTGTAATCGTGCAAAAAAAAAAATCTAGATTTTTACAAATCTCGACGTTTTACACCTCACTGATACTGAAAAACATAATTTTGCAATCTTGTCCGTGTGTCTGTGTGTGTGTGTCTGTCTGTGTGTAAACTCGATAACTTGAGTACCGTTACAGCTAGGTTGATGAAATTTCATATATAAGTATTTTTTCAAAATCGTAGATCCTGATCAACTTTTGAGCGATTTCCGATAATGATAAGTGGTACTTTTTCTACTTTGAATTTTTCAAAAGCCTATAACTTGAGTACTATTTCAGAAAGATAAATGAAATTTCACATGTAAGTAAAAGATCTAATTTTCTACCTTCTTTTAAATTTTGAGTAATTTCCGTTCACCGAAAGTACTAATTTACGCTATTTCCGATTTCTCAAAAAAACGCATGTAAATTTATAAAGTAATAATTATAGTGCGCATTATTATGCACATGTTGTTTTGGCGTTTGCTTTTTGCGCAATTCTTTTTTTTTTATGAGATTCTATTCTATTTTTAAAAGTTTAAGTAATTAAAAATCATGTCTGTATCCAAGTTATATAAGAATATTCGAGAAAGGTTAGGGGAGATCACTCCTGGTTTATTAAGTAAATAAACTTTTAAAAACAGACAACACAGACAGAACAAACAGACAGAACAGACAGACAGAACAGACAGACAGAACAGACAGACAGACAGACAGACAGACAGACAGACAGACAGACAGACAGACAGACAGACAGACAGACAGACAGACAGACAGACAGACAGACAGACAGACAGACAGACAGACAGACAGACAGACAGACAGACAGACAGACAGACAGACAGACAGACAGACAGACAGACAGACAGACAGACAGACAGACAGACAGACAGACAGACAGACAGACAGACAGACAGACAGACAGACAGACAGACAGACAGACAGACAGACAGACAGACAGACAGACAGACA